GAAAAGTTTTGCCCTACCTTCCATTCCAAATATACTTACTCATTCTGCTTCTTAAAGACGAGGCGAAGTATGTTTGAAAATATACAATTTTCTATCGATACTAAAGCGACCAGCACAAATTTCGACAAAATACAATAACAGGTCTTTAGTATAGCATGATTAATGAGAGAAATGACATTAATGGCAAGCCTGTTACTTTCTTTAACGATATTAATCCGCCTTGAAGGATAAAAGGCCCATTCTTATGAACAAAATTATTTATCCAAGAATTATGAGTAGACTTAGGCATAGTAAACTGATAAGTCGCTTATAGCCGAATTTCTATTCTGCAAACTTACTTCAGTTCGAGTCTGGGAAGATGAAGAAGACGGCAGATGCCATCATATTTGGAAGCAGTACGGTAAAAAACGTCTAGGTTACCAATCAATTGCCAATGTCCTGGTAAATGAAAAAAATGCATAGGAATAAAAGAGATACTTCAAAGAAAAATATTTTTAGCTGTCGCGAATAAATAAGTCTTTCAAATAAATACTCTTTAAAGGCAGTATGCCTTCGAATTTGAAGAATATTACGTCATTATTGAAATAAAATAGGCAAAAATTCATACTTATAATTATTTGTTTTTTTTTGGTTGGCATAACCATCAGTAGTCATAAAAACATGCGGCCAAGACTGAATCTTTAAGCCAAAACAAGATCAACACCTATTAATTTAATATTAATCAAATTTCACCTCTTGGATAACGTCTTTTTGCTCAAATAGTGCAAAAACAGCCATTTCAGATGATAAAATGCTTCTGACTTTGACTTATTCTTAAGATCACACTAATTTAAGATATGGAAAATGGAAATTAACGTATATCAGTCCAAAAGCGAGTTAGCAATTAAATATACGTTGACAAAGCACGGAGCATTATCAAACAAGACTTTGAAGGCGAATTCATGAGAAGAGGAGATACGTGAAAACGTGTCCTGCTAAACAAGAACTAAAGTTAAAAATCCGGATAGACAGATTAACTGTATCCAATTCAGGCTGTACCAACCCTACTATACGAAAAAGATGGTAGCAGAGATTGAGACGAAAAAGCAAGTACATGACATTATACTTACCTGGCTCCCAGACAACAGAGACATTAGTCCACTGCCAGGCAAATATCTCTGTGGCGTTGTAGGGCTCCAGGGTAGTGAAATAGAGCCAGTCAAAGCGACCGGCGGAGAAACTGAGTCGGCCGTGAAGAAGGAGCCGGGCGCGGTCCCACCAGCCGAGGCAAGGCTGCGAAGGGTCCATCGAAGGGCGGCGAACATCATCCATGCGCTGCATCAGCCAGGCCATGGTGGGCTCCCAATTCGGACCATAGCACATCACCATATCGGACAGGTCTGGACGGCAAGAAGATAACAGTCAGGTAGACAGAAATGAATTTAATTAGAGGTAAGAGTGCCCTTTGAAAAATTGCAATTCCCCGAATTTAATGTAA